GAACAAAATTTAATGTCTAGTCACCATGTAAGGAAAACATTATTTTGATGTTCAATAATGACGTCAAATGACGTTGATATTTGGTTGATTTTAGGTTGTGTTGGAAAGTGACCAAAATCCAATGTCAAGCCAACAGCGTAAACCAACGTCAGATTGACGCCAAATGCTGACATTTATTCATCAGGTATAGCAACAAAAACATCTGATAGATATCATAGTGGTAATGTCCACAAAACGTCAAGCTGTAACATCATTAGACGTTGATATTTGACATAAAATAAATAACACAGTCCTGTAATTTATTTTTGATTTGTTTTTGCTTTTTTACACCAAAGTTAGATGTCAATTTGACGTCAAGAAAGTCGATTAGATTGTTTGATTAGATTGTTTGATGTTTTTAGACATGTTGTTGATCTCTATTTGACATCAAGATGTTTGCTGGATAATTTAAATATCCTAAGAGTACAACACACACATTTCCCAAAACTAGGTCAAGATTATGTCATTTTTCTGAGTGATAATCATGTAATTGACAACAAAAGCATGTCAAAAATACTAAGTCAATTTTATGTCAATTTTGAAGTTTAATAACGACGTCGAATGATATTTGGCTAACTTTAGGTTGTGTTAAAAAGTGGCCAAAATGCAATGTCAAGCCAACATCTTAACCCAACGTCATATTGATGTCAAATACTGACATTTATTCATCAGGTATGGCCAACAAAACAGCTGATAGATGTCATTGTGCTAACGTCCACACAACATCAAGATGTAACATCATTAGACGTTGATATTTGGTTTATTTTAGGTTGGACATTGACTAAAGTTCTGGTTCTGACATCAACCCAATTTTCATTTCCAAACAAAATGCTATCTGAGATGTCCAAGTGATGTAAAGGGGAAATGAGTTGACATATAGCCCTATGTCACAGTAGGAATCTCTCCAAAAATAACATCACACTGCAGATGAACTGCCAAGCAACCCATGACGGATGATTTAAATGTATATGGAAACACACAGCTGTGTTTTTCGTCTTCTTAAAATACATTTGTTAAACATGAATATAACACTTGGGGGAATTCTGCCAAGTAGAGCCAAAAATGAGACGGGTAGAAACAAAACAGTTGGAAACTGTGACCCACATCAAGTCTTTTTACATAAGAGTTTTAAGTTTTAAGTTTGAGTTCAATTGTTTTGTTGGTATATTTTGTTCCAAGTGGAAGCTTAGATATCCAAATGCCATGAAAAAACACATGAAAAACATGTCAAAATGAATCAAGTTTAAATATTCCATATTCATGTCACATGTAAAAAAAATGTAGTCAATTTGATGTCAAAGTCTTAACGTCTATTTGACATCCACACATTGATGCTCTTTTGACCACCAAAATAACACAAAAGTATTATAATATAAACATTTTATTAATCTGAAAGCTTAAATTCTTATATTGGCGTCAAATAAATAACACAGTGCTTTTGATGTTATTTTTTTAGGCCAATTTTAGATGTCAATTTGACATCGAGGAATTAATTAACATCAAATCGATTCACATGTTTGATGTTTTTTGTGTCTATTTGTCATCAAGATGTCCTTTGGATAATTTATTAAACATTCTAAGAGTTTCCAAAACACATATTTTCCAAAAATGGGTCAAGCTTTGATCATTTCATGTCATTGCAGTTTTTAATGTCAAAGTCAATCTTACTTTGACCTGATAAAACCTTGACATTTATTTGACATCCACACATTGATGCTCTTTTGAACACCATAATAATGACAAAGATTATTTTAACATTAACGTTTTATTCATCTGAAAGCTTCATTTTAAAATTTACACTGAATTTTATATCTCTACAATGCATGTAAACTCTCTTGATGTCAAAATGACATTAAATTGACATCTAATATTGGCGTCAAATAAACAACACAGTCCTGAAATCGATTTTTGATGTCATTTTTTTTTTACGCCAATGTTAGGTGTCAATTTGACAAAGAAACAATTAACATCATATCTGTTAGCAGGTTTGATATTTTTGATCTCTATTTGACATCAAGATGTCTGCTGAATAATTTCCTAAACATCCTAAGAGTTTAAAACAGACACATTTCCCAAAATTAGTTCAAGATTAGGTCATTTTTTGAGTGAAGTTCAAGTCACTGACATCAAAACCATGTCAAAAATGCAAAGTCAGTTTATTTTAAAACCTTGACGTCTATTTGACATCCACACATTGATGTAAACTACCTTGATGTCAAAACGACATCAAATTGACATCTATTATTGGCGTCGAATAAATAACACAGTCCTCCAATTGATTTTTGATGTGTTGTTGGATTAGCTTGTTAGGTGTTTTTGGACATGTCTTTGATGTCTATTTGACATCAAGATGTCTGCTGGATAATAATGTTAAGAGCTAACACATTTCCTAAAATTAGGTCAAATTATTATATATATTAGGTCATTTTTTTGAGTGAGGTTTATGTCATTGACATCAAAAATGCAAAAGTCGAATTGATGTCAAAAACTTGATGTCTATTTGACATCTACACATTGATGTTCATTTGAACACCAAAATAATGACACAATGTTTTAATATAAAGGTTTTATTCATCTGAAAGCTTCATTTTCAAATTTACACTGAATTTTATATCTCTACAATGCATGTAAACTACCTTGATGTCAAAATGACATTAAATTGACATCTAATATTGGCGTCAAATAAACAATCCTGAAATCGATTTTTTGATGTCATTTTCTTGACGCCAATGTTAGATGTCAATTTGTCATCAAGGATCAAGTAACATCATATCTGTTAGCAGGTTTGATGTTTTTAGACATGTATTTGACCTCTATTTGACCATGATATCTGCTGAATAATTTCCTTAACATCCTAAGAGTTTCCAACAGACACATTTCCCAAAATTAGTTCAAGATAATGTCATTTTTTTGAGTGATGTTCATGTCACTAACATCAAAACCATTTCAAAAATGCAAAGTCAGTTTATGTTAAAACCTTGACGTCTATTTGACATCCACACTTTGATGCTCTTTTGACCACCAACATAACGACACAAAAGTATTATAATATAAACATTTCATTCATCTGAAAGCTTCAATTCCATATTTACACTGGATTTTGTGTCCTTACGATGCATGTAAACTACCTTGATGTCAAAACGACATCAAATTGACATCTATTATTGGTGTTGAATAAATAACACAGTCCACTAATCGATTTTTGAGGTGTTATTTTTTGGACACCAATGTTAGATGTCAATTGGCATCAAGAAAATCAGTTAGCTTGTTTGATGTTTTTTGACATGTCTAATTGACATCAAGATGTCTGCTGGATAATTTCTTAAACACCCTAAGAGTTCACACATTTCCCAAAATTTGTTCAAAATTAGGTAAAAAAATTGTGATATTCATGCAATTGACATTCAAAGTCGATTTGATGTCAAAATCTTGATGTCTATTTAACATCCACACTGATGCATTACTGACCACCAAAATAGTGACACAAAAACTATTATAATATAAACGTTTTATTCAATTGAAAGCTTCAATTGCAAATTTACACTGGATTTTGTATCTCTCTACGTAGCACGTAAACTAACCTAATGTCAAAACATCAAATTGACATCTATTATTGGTGTCAAATAAATAACACATCAAAAATTTATTGCAGGACAGACCTGTAATTGATTTTTTTTTATGCGTTTTTTTTTTTTTTTTTTGACGCCGATGTTAGATGATGTAATTGACTTCCTTGATGTCAAATTGACATTAATTTTTTACTTGTTTTGATGTCTATTTGACATCAAGATTTCTGCCAGATAGTTTCTTAAACATCTAAATCATGCGTTCCAAACTTAGGTCAAGATAGATAGTGAGATCCCAAGCAAATTATCAAAAAAAAAAAATGCAGTCAAAAATGCATTACTTTTCTATTAAACTGCATATGTGGATCTAATATGGCATGTAGCTTAGCCAGCTGTTTAATGTATCATTCCCTTGCAAGCCTTTGGCTCAGAGCTGCATATTTGGAAAGTGTCCTCAAGGGGCACCACTCGCATGTGTCCGCAGTGACCCCAAACATCCCATTTTCCCACCTCGCGCTTTATTGTTAGATGACACTAATCTCAGATGAAAACAGTTGATTTGTAAACCTCTAAAATCAACAAAATGTCATATTTTGAAAGAAAGATAGCATCAGCACACATTAAAAACAAGTATAAAGCTATAGACAATGAAAATGAATCATATATGTGACTTTAAGACATCTGTAAGAGCTTGAGGACTTAAAAATGATGAAGAAAAGTGAAGTTAATTCTTCAGACAAAGATTACATTTAGGATTGTTGTGTCTAATTTAATTAGTAGAAGTCATTTTAAATGTTTAAATTATTCTACAGAATTCTTTCTCCACCTTTTTTACCCATAATTTATTTGCAATATCAAATTTACAAAGCCCATATGACTTTTCCAATTGTTTGCATGTATATTAAAGGGATAGTTCACCTAAACTTCACTATTTACTCAACCTTGAGTGGTTTAAAACCTTTATGAGCTTCTTCTGTAGAACACAAAAGAAGAATTTAAAACTTGTAGGAAACCTGCAGCCATTGATTTCTATTGTAGAAAAAAAAAACATGGAAGTCAATGGTTACAGGTTTCCAACATTCTTCAAAATATCTTCTTTTGTGTTCAACAGAAGCAAGAAGCTCATAAAGGTTTTAAAGCATAGATTTTAATAATGTTTTTTGTAGTTTGACATAACTATAATGTTGAAAGTTCATTTTGGTCCCCTATTTAAGAAGCTTCAAACTAAATATATTGCATTTAATTTATAAAATTCATAATACATGCATGTTTATTTTTTGTCTTGGGCTACTCATTCATAATGAATCTTGTGGTGTATAGTTGCTATCAAGGCATTCATGTACTTCTAAGGATGCACTAGTAAGGAGACTTGTGATAAATCACATGATGACTTAC